AAAACCCAAAACAAAAATAAGTCGTTTTCCGTTTTTTTGATTTGAAACGAAAAATGGGGAAAAAGACGAAGACTTAAGTCGATCCATCAAGTGTCTGTAACGGGGAAAAACCGTCGGCACACTTCAAATAAAATAAGAGACTCGAAAATATAACACTTGGGGAACTGTGACATGTATTACCATAACGGTTTAAATATAAAAACTGTTAGACGTCTTGTAAAGGAATTCTATTGATTAATTCATAAAGATTAAAGTGGGTAAATTTTGTGTGCATCTTAGTTTTCCCGTCTACACACAAATTGAAATTGTTTTCAAATTGTTTAATCGCTTTTGAAAGTTCAATGTCTGCTTGATGGCTTAAATAAAAGCCTAAGCAAAATTTCAATGCCGGAACCCGGGATTGAACCAGGGACCTTCAGATCTTCAGTCTGACGCTCTCCCAACTGAGCTATTCCGGCCGATAGAGTATTCAGAAACATGTAGAGAATTGAATGGATGACGGCGGCATTTCAGGGCGTTTAACGTCTTGTTTTATACATGTAAATTTTGAAAACGAGACTATCCAGCTCCGTACCCAGCAGCGTATTATTTTTAATAACACAACATGCTCGGGATACACCATGTACTTTCCTATGGTAAAATTGTTTCATTGCCAATCAGTAAAAGGAGACTATTCGTAGAGGCTCGTGGTAGCTTCCCCTTTTTAAATGTCGGACTTAACTTCCCTTTGAGTTTGCAAAAAAAAAATCAAAGCCACAATTATAGCCTTTATTTAAGCAGTGGCGTAACTAGGCCTAAATTTCCGGGGGGGGGCACCGGGGGTGCAATTTTATTCAAGGGGTTACTATAAGAAAATAAACTACAGCTGCATTTCAATTTAGACTTCAAAGATTTCAAATGGTGAGGGAGGCATGGGGGTATACCTCACCCTGTTGGTTACGCCACAGCGTGCGTGTGACGCGTGTTCTGTATAAAAAAGGCCCAAGACATCATGTTCGTGCACATGTACACTTTCCTTTAGGGGCCTGGATGGATCTTGTCACTAACGTGTAAAAGTTATGTAAAAAAAGCTTGTCACATTTGTTAAAGGTCTGTTATCATGATGAATTTTTCATGCAAGTCAGATGAGGTATGGATGGACGAATCTGAGTTTTACAAGGGAGAGATTATCTTTAGTTTGACTCTCCTAGAACTAGAAACTCACGGGAGTGTCTTTGTATCTTTGAGAATTCGAAGTTTTGAGTTACCAAGGAATTTCGAAGTGTATGATTTTTCCCTGTGACATGTATTACCATAACGGTTAAAATAAAAAAAATTGTTGGACGTCTTGTAAAGGAATGCTATTGATTTATTCATAAAGAATAGAGTGGGTGAATTTTGTTTGCATCTTAGTTTTCCCGTCTGCACACATAATGTCTAAAATTGAAATCGTTTTCAAATTGTTTAATCGCTTTTGAAAGTTTAGTGTCTGCTTGATGGCTTAAATAAAAACCTAAGCAAAAATTTCATGCCGGAACCCATGATTGAACCAGGGACCTTCAGATCTTCAGTCTGACGCTCTCCCAACTGAGCTACTCCGGCCGATAAATAGCCAGAACATCTTGATAATTGAATGGAGGAAGGCGCCAAGTTGATTAATGAAGCCTATAAAAAAACTGTGGCCCACTTGGTTAGGCAACAGCAGTGGAGTAGGCGAAGATTAGTAGTGAGGAGGTCTGTGTGATGGATCGTTTGTCCTGAGAATTCAATAAGTCATGAGATTGGAAAGGGCAGCTTGCTTGTGAAAAAAAGATCAAATTCGTGGAGATAGAAACTGCAGGTCTCCGGCAGGACACAGTGCAAGTGACATCTCCGTGTTGAATGACGTTTAACTGCCTATTGCATTTTCAGTGACGACTGCAAAATGAGCACCAATCTGCTCAGTAACATGACTGTGGACGAAGATACAACTTGCTCCATCAATGGGCTTTCTAACGAAGTGATAATTGGCGTTCTGGTTTATTTCGTCTTCGTCGTGTTGCTGGGCATACCGGGTAATTGCCTCATCTTTTACGTGTACTGGAGCAAACGAAACAAATCCAGCACCAATGTCCTGATCATGTCGCTCGCATCGGTTGACTTCGTGGTTTGTTTTCATCGACTTTTGGACATCGTCTTGAATTCACTTTGTCTGGCTGGAGTGAACTCACCTGGTACCTTTCGGAAAATTTTGTACTGCCTCAACCTTGGATGGATCGGTGCGTCTGTCACCGTTACTGCGATTATTGCTGTGGACCGTTATGAATGCGTGTGCCTTCCAAAACAGCGAAAGATGACTTTCAAAAGAACCAAGAAATCCTTACTGGTGTCAATTCTTGTCAATTTTGTATTCCAAATACCGTTATATGTCGTAGTGGTCATGGACGAGACTGTTTCAGTTACTCTTTCTGCGACATTTTTGGGACTTAGGCTTGTGATATTTTTGGCTGCGTTTTGTGTAATCTTGGTATGTTACGGAAGTGTTTTCCGTGCCATACGCCAACACGTTCGAACCAGTGCAGCATCACCACAGAGTCATCATGAGCACCAATGTTCGCTTTTCAAGAAGTTCTCTCAACCACACACTCCAGTGCGAACAGTAGCTGACACCGTACCATGTCAGTCGTTGGTGGATTCCAGTTTAGAATCAACCAACGGAGAGCTACGAATAGGGGACCAACTACCGACGAAGACGAGCACCAGTGGGGTACACCAGCCCAGTTTTCTTGCAAATGATAACCTGACTGATTTGACTGAAAGGTGGGATGAAAGCGAAGCGACCCCACCTACGCAGTTCCTTCGTGTCAGGGTACCTTCTGTGACCGGACGCCGTCAAGTTGCTGGGCCGGCACTTCAGCGCCGAACCACCCTCATGCTTTTCATCACTACCGTTGTGTTTCTCGCTTCTTGGCTGCCTTATGGAATTTATTCCGTCTTTGAAGCCCTCGGCATGGAATCAGTCTTTCTGAAAACATTCACCAAGATTTTGTATGTAAATAACGTCGTCAATCCGTTCATCTACGGCCTAGCGAACAGACGGTTTCGAGATGACTGCCAAACTGCCCTTCGGAAGTTGAGATTTTGTAACAGAGTCAAACACTAAGATAAAACTTTGTCATAATTAGCAGAAAGAACCTTACCGCGTCAGCTGAAGCTTAACAGGCCTTCAGTTTCGAAAGACCAGTTTTGTGGCGTAGGAATACCATGCTTTGATCAGGGCAGATTCAAGATTTGTCTTGGGGGAGGTTCTTACCGGAATGTAACCCCCCATAGCTCGCGATGCTCAAACCCCTCCCCATAGCTCACGATACTCAAGCCCCTCCCCCACCCGTTGCGTCACGGGGGGGGGTGCGCGGTTATACCAGAGCTATTTTTTGGTTTGAACACTGTAACAAATAATAACATGGGATATTAAGCCCCTGAGGATCCGCCCCTTGGGTGTGCCACTGTTCTGTGAAATAGGCATTAACATCTTTTATTTATATTTATAATTTGTTGTCTTTTTTGTATGATATATTGGTAATTAAACTATTCCATAATATACCGTGTCTTGTAATTTTACCTCTTTGTAATATTTTAAGACGATTTTATTCTGATTTTTATTCCTAATGCATTTTATAATTATTCTATTTACTTTTAAGTGTAGTTTGTTCATTATTATTTGAATCCTTGTGAGGTTTGATTTGTCCCTATCCTAGTTTGCTTGTGTATATTGTACTTGTAATTCTTTTTTATTTATCTCTTTCGTTTATTTATTTTCATTAATTTCACCGTTATATAATTTAGTACATTGTATCTTTGGTGTTAATAATCCTATTTGTATTTATTTCAACTTATATAATTTACTTCCCAGGACCCCATGGAAGACCACAATCATATGTGGATGGGTCTCCATGGTAAATCAAAGATAATAATAATAATAATTTCGATGATTATAATGGAGAGTGTTGTATAGGTTACAATCTCAGATCTACGCTGTTCAATTTTACTGGTGAAACTTAAATGTGATGTTCATCAATAAGATTTGCTTCAATTTCTATCAATTTCCAATTGCTGTTGTTCTCGGTACAAAACTCTATCAATAATTCAAATAAAGAACAAAAAGCGATTGCCGGAACCCGGGATTGAACCAGGGACCTTCAGATCTTCAGTCTGACGCTCTCCCAACTGAGCTACTCCGGCCGATGAAATATCCAGAACATCAAGATAATTGGATGCAGGAAGGCGGCATTTCAGGGCGTTAAACGTCTTGTTTTATAAATGTAAATATAGAAAACTAGACTATCCAGCTCCGTACCCAGCAGCGTATTATTTTTTATTAAAATATAAAAACTGTCGGACGCCTTGTAGAAAAAATGCTGTAGGTAAATTTTGTATGCATCTTAGTTTTCCCGTCTGCACACATTGTCTGAAATTGAAATCGTTTTCAAATTGTTTTATCGCTTTTGAAAGTTTAGTGTCTGCTTGATGGCTTAAATAAAAACCTGAGCAAAATTTCAATGCCGGAACTCGGGATTGAACCAGGGACCTTCAGATCTTCAGTCTGACGCTCTCCCAACTGAGCTATTTCGGCTGATAAGGTATATCTAGATAATTCATGGATGATGGCGGCATTTCAGAGAGTTTACCGTCTCAAGTTACTACAAACGTCGCAGCTCCGTCCCCGGTAGCGTATTTTTTTTATTACATAACATCCTTTGGACGCACCAAGTACTTTCCTAATGTAAAATTGTTTCATTGCCAATCAGTAAAAGGAAACTATTCGTAGAGGCTCGTGGAAGCTTCGCCTTTTGAAATGTCGGACTTAACTTCCCTTTGAAAAAACTTCTTTCAAACGCCATGATTATAGCCTTCAGTGGTGTCACTATAGGGATAATTTGGGGGGGGGGTTGCACCTNACTTCATGGATGACGGCGGCATTTAGAGAGTTTACCGTCTCAAGTTACTACAAACGTCGCAGCTCCGTCCCCAGTAGCGTATTTTGATATTACATAACATCCTTTGGACGCTCCAAGTACTTTTCTATGGTAAAAGTGTTTCATTGCCATTCAGTAAAAGGAGACTATTCGTTGAGGCTCGTGGAAGCTTCGCCTTTTGAAATGCCGGACCTAACTTCCCTTCGAAAAAACATCTTTCAAAGTCACGATTAATTAAGCCTTTAACGGTGTAACTTAGTGATGGGGATAAAGTTTCGGGGTGGGGGGAAGGCACCCAGGATTTGCACATTTTTTCAAGGGGGTACCACAAGAAAATAAACTATAGCTGGATTTCAACAGAGACGATTCACAAATTTCAAATGGGGTGGGGGAGGCACCCGAGGGGACGGTCATCCACTGGAGGGGGCACGTGGGTATACTGGTGTCTCCTACCGTCATGTTCATACCCCAATGCAAATGCCATTATAATTATATGTCGGAGTGGCCATGGAGAAAACTGTTTCAGTTTCTCTTTCTGCGACATTTTAGGACCTCAGCTCGTGATATTTTTTGCTGCGTTTTGTGTAATCTTGGTTTGTTATGGAAGTGCTTTCCATACCATATGCAAACACATTCAAACCAGTGCAGCTTCACTACTGAGTACGACAACCCGCAAAATTCACTCTTCAAGATGTTTTTTTCACCTACATACTCCTTTGCGAACAGTAGCTGACATCGTACCATGTCAATCGTTGGTGGCTTCCAGTTTAGAATCAACCAACGGAGAGCTAGAATAATTAGCAGAAAGAACCTTACCGCGTCAGCTGAAGCTTAACAGGCCTTCAGTTTCGAAAGACCAGTTTTGTGGCGTAGGAATACCATGCTTTGATCAGGGCAGATTCAAGATTTGTCTTGGGGGAGGTTCTTACCGGAATGTAACCCCCCCCCCATAGCTCGCGATGCTCAAGCCCCTCCCCATAGCTCACGATACTCAAGCCCCTCCCCCACCCGTTGTGCCACGGGGGGGGGGTGCGCGGTTATACCAGAGCTATTTTTTGGTTTGAACACTGTAACAAATAATAACATGGGCTATTAAGCCCCTGAGGATCCGCCCCTTGGGTGTGTTACTGTTCTGTGAAATAGGTGTAACAGGGAAAAATGACACACCATGGGGAACCCGCAGAACAACAGAAACTCTAACTAAACTAAGGATCTTTGAAGGAAAAGTCGCAGGAAACTGGATTAATAAGGGCTCAGACACCAATATTTGACTTTAAAGAATGAACAAAAAAGAATTTATTCATGAAAAAGTACTGGGAAAATGCAAAAAAAAAAAAAAAAAAAACACACCAAAAGGACTAAAGGACTTAAACGACTTAAAACCAAAAGACTAAAAACCAAAACCAAACACAGTATGTAAAATGGACCTAATGAGTTTACACTTTGACTTCAATCTGTAAAAGACAATTAAAAAAAGAACATACATGTAAAAAAACAAAATTTCTTGTGCATGAACTATATAGTACATGGAGGAGAGCAGGGATTAACACATCATAAAACGGCAATTGTGAACAGATCTAAGGGGCTAATTAAGTATTCATATCCCCTGGCAAGTCCAAATAAACAATCAAGTAAGGAAGGGAAGACAAAGAAAGGCATGTTCTGAGGCAAATGGGTGGAAATACTTTATACATCACTAACATTCTTTGACTAAAAAGAGTAAGAAAGGTAAGAAAATATGAGAAAATCAGATAAGGATAGATCTAAAAGATGATTTAAAATTAGGAAAACTTCAGTGATTCAGAAAACTAATAATACTCAGCAAGAAAACGGACAAACCTTGGCAAGAAAAGTTTAGAAACTAGATAATATTGAAGAAAGAGGGAAAATTTAACTTTTTACATGAATACGAAAAGTTTAGAAACTCACCACTGACTTCCAGCAGAATAGGGCTCAAGCAGAAAACCACACTCCAGTTAGGAGGAACAATACATCTGAANGCAGTCCGTATGCGGCCTTTCGTCCACTCGTTATTTTATTTAAAAACGAGTATCGACCAACCAAAAAAACGAAAAATGAGAAAAAAGACGAAGACTTAAGTCGATCCATCAGGTGTCTGTAACGGGGAAAAACCGTCGGCACACTTCAAATAAAATAAGAGACTCGAAAATATAACACTTTGAGAAATCGCTAAAAAAAATTACTTTCAAAGGGATCAAAAGGGAGGAGTTGCAGGAAATCTAAAAGAATAGGGATGCGCTGAAACTTGGTTCCAACAACAAAAAAATCTTTTATTTCTTCTTAAAAACACCAAAAAAGGGGAAAAAAAGAACTTTAAAGCAACGGATCCCCCGTATTCCTTTAGTTCAGCCGTGATTGATTTGGTGGGTTGCGAAGATGTTCAGTTAAGTTCCTTACTTTACAAAATGAAAAATGGTGTTGTTTTTCATCAATATTTGATACGGGTGTCGTTTTCATGTTGAAAAACGAAAAAAAAACGTGATTGTCGTTTTTCATTTTTTAAATGAAAGACGCAAAACGGCTTGTTTCTCTGTCTTCAATTTTCTATGTTTAAATCAAAAAACGAGAGACAGCTCATTTTTCAGTTTCCATTTTCGTTTTAAATCGAAAGAAAACGAATGCCGAGCAAACGGTACCACGGACCCTACGCCGCTCTACGGTACGGACGGACACTCGCTCTGCAAGAGCGCGATTCGCAAACCGTCTGAATATAAAGTGGTGCCCGTCTTTTTGTTCAATGATATTTTTAAGCCGTCGTCATCAACAGTTACCAGCGGATTGACCTCCATGAACTTTTGAGACCTGACAACACCAAAACATTCACGCTAACCAATCACACGTAACAGGCATGGCGTCTACTGAAGTGGAAGACTTATACAGACGACTCCAGGTACTTTTGATTAGTGAGATTACAGCATTATTTTTGTGTGTTAGTTTTTGTTTGAGATGTTAAACTATACAACAGACGTTTGAAGAGGCAATATGGAAAGATTATTTTGCAACCTAGATTAGCGTACCCGGTAGGCTTACCCCCTCGCCCTCTGGCTGGCTCGTGACTTGGGGGACTAGTCATGGTAGTGCATGTAGTACTACTTGGCCCTAGCCTTATTGCTGATATCGCATAGGTGATTTTGCACAATGTTGGAAAGGCATTGTGGGAAGGAAAAGGGGGCAATGTTTGCTCCTTTTTCCTTTCAACTTTCTCGTCATGAAGCTCTTGAATGAAATTATGCACTGACATTAATACTCATACTGTCGATGATCAATCGTTACATCGGCATTTTTCTAGGCCTATGTGCGAATTAAAAGCTTTTCCAGTGACAATTCAAGAAAAATGTCTGCAGAGCGTAGTGATAAAGACTTTGATTTTACAGACCAGATAAAAAATTAACCGCGTGAAATTGTCCAGAAAAAGGATAACTGATCGCTGTTCGCTCGTGATTGGTGTTGGACGTCTGACATGGGCACTGATGACAACTTGGATCATTTTTTGCCAACTACTGAGGGCGTTATCAAAAATATAGAGTCTAAAAAAGCACTGCGCACCTCAGTCATATTTGTGACTGGCTCTAGAAAAATGGGTAGTATTTAAGTTGCCAGATTCAGGTTGTGAATTTTGATGTGGCTGGATTTTGTACACCGAAAGCTACAATTTGATATATGAATGGCCCCTGTGGTGTGGGGTGTGCCGGAGATACAATGTAAATAGACATTTGTATATCCACATTTTCGGATTCATTTTCTGCTTTTTTCGAAGCACTTTTCGAGAAAAAGCTCAAAAAGTGTAGTGCTTGGAAACACAATGTTATCTAGGATTTCTTACTGAATGATCAATTTTTCATCTTTATTCATCAGTGTCCATGTTTGTATTTTTCCATATTATAGACGCTATTAAAGGAAAAACGCAAAATCACATTTTTAAAGAAATGTTGCCCTCTCCAAATAGAACAGGCCATTACGTGTTTTGGCATTGTGTGACGTAATACTCTTTTTTGCAGAGTGGGTTACATTTTGAGATTTCCCTTGCCAATGATGGGCATGGATTTGGCGGCACACTGTATTTTGTGACTTTTTTTTCAGTAATACACCTAGAAAGAGAATTTTTTTCATAACATCGAGATTAATTACTCATATTAAAGCTTTTATGACTTATTTGAAAGAATAAAAATTCATGCCTTACTGTAACTTGAAGTGAAATTGACAAAAATTAAAATCAAGGAGAAGGAAAAAGAGACAGCGGTGGAAAATCGAGCTATATGTATGGCAAAAAAGTGGGTTTTTTTTCCCTCAAACTGAATCACTATACCAAAGCAATTAATGCAAAAAATAGACATTAACTGGCATATTTTTTCGGAATAGGGCATTACCAATACCCTGTAAAATGACGTTTTAAATCATACCTGTATGAATTTTGGTGACGTAAGTTTTAGTGCAGCTGATCCAACTTGTTTGCAGATGACTTTGTTCCTGCTGCTTCAGTGTTCTAGCTGCTTTGATATGCTTCATAATATTATTCCTTGTAGGATTTTAGTCAAACTTTCAACTACTGAGAGTGAAGCTATTAGAAACTTTGTTTATTTTACATGTTTTAGAACAAATTTTGGTCAAAGTATTAAGCGTATAACAGGATTGTGTAAACATGTGTAAACATTGAAACTTTGTCCATAATTAACCAGAGGTATCTCAACAGGGTCAAATTCATTCATTTTTCCTCATGTACACAAGCATTTCGTAATTCATTAATTTGTTAAGTTTCCCAGGTTGTTGGATACCTTACCCATTGATGCTGCTCGGGAAATTGCCTTTGACCTCAACTCTTTTGTCCTAAAACTGAGAAATCTCTGGCCTTACCCAGATGGTAGCATTGTATTTCTGAAAAGCATTGCTTTCTGAGTGTGTGAAATTTTGAATGTTTTTTTTTATGAAGTGTTTATTTTAGTTTGCCATCATCCGTTTATCGTATCATCACACTCATAACTCAACTATGTACATGTAAACTGCCACAGGTTTAGCCAGTTTTACACTGAATTAACTTAACTTAAATGAATGTATTTACTCAAGTTCATGTTTATACAATTATTTATTTATTTACAAGTACATGTAATTTGGATTTGTCCCTTTTTTATCCATAAGTCACTTTTTATTATTAGTTGTTTGTTATTTTGTTTTCCGTGATACTTGTACCTGTAAGTGGCGGATCTCTGCTGTTGGATATCAGAATAAATAAATAAAATAAAATAAATTATAAATAGGCCTAGGCCTACTCCCAGAACTGTGAGGCACACTCCGTGTACACGGAGTGCGCCTCCCAGTTCTGGGAGCAAAAAAGGCCTAACTACATGTAGGCCAAGTTAGGTTATTTGTGTTGGCCTGCAGCCAGCGTTGAACTGATCCCATATAACTATTTGGCACAATTGCAGAATACCCCGCCACTCAGTCATTCCACCTCGTGGCCGGCTTTGAGGTCCAAGGTCACACATGCAGTACACATCGTGTTAAGATGACCACAAAAGGGCGCACCGATTCTGACTTTGTATCTGCTTAACTGCCGACTCGGGACTTCTTTTGGACTTAGAATTTTTCTGCCCTTTCCCAATGACTTTGTGCACTTGCCACCCTTAATCTCCTCAGTTCTCATCGTACCCGCGAAGCCAACCAATCCCCATTAATTTTGTGTTGCTTCGTTCTAAAAAAATGCAACTGCCAACATGGGAGTCGGTGTGGTTTATTTGTCTGCAGGGGAAGAATTCTGTATTAGTCCATTACAGTTTTTGCACGTCATAGATACAAAGAAGTTTAAAGAGGTCATCTATTCATTTTAGGGGAATTTTAGCAAAAAAAGGTTGTACAATACTGGGGGGGGACAAGTCAAACAAAGTAGGGTAAACTTGTTTGTGTTTATGACATGCAAACATTGTGATGGTTAAATATGAAATATTTTCTCTCCGTTGTTAACATGCTGTATGTTCTTTGTGTTTGTTACACATGTTCCCCGCTTTCAAAATTTTGAATAAGGCATTCAGCAGATTGGAAATAAATAAATGATGCCATCAATACTTGTCTGTAGAAAACTCATGACATACCATGATGTACATGTACGTGCGTGTATCCTGAGGCACTTTATTGTTAAAAATAATGGGATATCTTTCCAGACATTCCAACTGCAGCTGAAGGTGATACTGGATAGAAATAATGAAGTACTTAGCCACTTGGAGCAGGTTGAAGCCTCAATCACTGGACTGGACAGCTCCGTTGTCAATAAGGATGCAATCAGAGGAAGTATAAAGGTTTGCAGAGTCTCTAGCAAACAGGTCAGTTCAATTGGCAACTTATCAATCACCCCAACGTTGGAAGTTGGGATTTTCTTCCTTATTTTGAAATCACAAATTGCCCTGTTAACATCTTGTTGTGTGTTACAGTTCAACTCGTCTTTTTGTACATCCTGACCGTCAAATCTCTACAAATGTTAATTGCTTCTTCATTTTTTCCCTTGCGTTTTCTGTGCGCTTGTGCACTATAGGTCCAGGAAATTGCTGAGAGTCAGTGTGGAAGTCTTGAGGGACAGATAAGAGAACTAGCCAGATACTCAGATGATGATTTACATGGTGATATTAACAGGTAAGTGTAAGGCGGGGTTCTAGACATTCTCATGGGAGAAAGGTAGCATAGGTTTGTGACCGTATGTAGCGCATGTGCAGTGAAGTTGAAGTACAAACAACCCTCGTCAATCGTTGTCAGGTCATTAGGCTGAAGGGGAGAAAAGGTGGCTGTAGGAAGGACAAAATAGCTAAATTAAAAGAAAATGGTCAGGTACTAGTGACATACTGTTTTCTGACATTTGTCTGGTCCTCTCTGCTCTGTGTTATTAAAAAATATTTATGGCAACCAACGATGCAACCAACCTCAACAGGCTGGTCACGAATAGTTGACTACAGTAGTCCAACCATTGTCGACTAGCATGCGTTCATCAAAACGAGTTAGTCAAACCATGGTTAACTACACGTATGGTCCTTAATTGAACTTGCCCTCAGGTGGACATCAACCTTGGCATTCCTCCTAGGAGTCTTTCTGAATCTTGACTGCAAGATACTGGTGCTACATGAATTGTACTGTAACTTTCTATTAATGTAGTGAGTTGGGGATTCCTATTATCATTAAGTTCATTTATAATGTACATGTACCTCTGAACTCTACATGTGAGCAGGGCGTGAGTTTGGGTGGACCCTGCACGTGACAAAACGTTCTTTACACATTTGTTGGCCAGAAGTGGCCAGATTGTATTAGTTTTGGGCACAACTTGATATACTTTTTCACTACTGGGAGCATGGCTAGAAGTTTCCTAGACTAGGTAGTGGACTCTTCGACTTCAGACTCCGGAGTTGGCTGTTGACTTGGCTTCGGCTAGCAGTATGGCTACGCTTGGGTTGACTTAAGCCAAGTTGACCCTTGAAAAAAGATCCGGCAAATCTTACAGAAATGTGAGGCTCCAGTCGATGTTCCTGTAGCCATCCGTTTCTTTCCGCTCTCCCTATCTTTTTCGTGCCTCGATTCGGCCTCTGATTCCCCCTTCAGCGGCAGATGGACTGCAACCCCCGAGCAATTGGCCAGGGGCTGGACAGCTACATTCATATCTTTCTTCATAAATTCATAGCGGCCAGGTTCTTTCTTAATCCTACAAATCCTCCAAACTTTGTTGTTGAACTCAGGTCTGGAAGGGCAGGAGTTAGGATGATAATGATTTAGAAAATGAAAGAACTGTCAACAAGTCATGACATCTATCATCCAGTGTCAGTCCATTTCAGTCCTTTTTGTCCACTCCATGTTTCTTGTGAACTGACGTATGGGTTGACTTACGATTGAAGAGTTAAAAGTTTTTCTAGTCATTCATTTTAGAGAAGGACAGCAGGAATAAGGGACTGGTGAAGCCAACATTTATTTCTCTGTTTCTCAAGGGTCCCAGACACAACCTTCTCTTCGGTCAAACAACAGCTGATGTCACAGTTGGATTACAATGTGGCGTTGCAGAAGGACAAGGCCGCACTGGAGACGAGGCTTGCCGAGAAGCTGGAAAAGTTGGCACAGGTCAATAAGATGAATGAAACACTGCAAGGGGATGTGGAGGAATCACAGGAAAAGATGAGAAGTGTCCTAGAGAGGTTGGACAAGACAGCAAAGGATGGTACGTAGGTAGTAAGAAACACTTTATATGAATGGAATTGGAACAGGTGTTATTGTCATGCAAATAGTTTGAAAAAAACAGACAGCTTGTGGGATTGTTGTCCATTCGTACATGTTGATGTATACACTTAAAAAAATGTCTGTCTGTCTGTCAAGGGATCTTGTCAAGTGCTTCTCATGAAAATGTCTTGATGTATATTGTGACCTATCTCCCCTCAAGAAAGACAACATACATCCATAGAAAGAAGTTGTATACTCAAGACTATGGTTGAAAGCTGTGTAAACACAACTACAGATATTGTTCTTACCACAGAGCCCAATGATACTTCCTGGGTGTACAACACAGGATACCTGTACATTAGAACTCTACATAGGCACTTCGGAGGAGAGCTTTCAAAAGCCAAATCAATCTACCTGTTTTGATAGATTAAAACTCCTGTTAAAGAAAGATAGTGGTTGTACAAGCCTGGAATTTTATTTGTGGTGAATCAAGACCACTTTTCTTTTGATAAGAAATCAAAATGTCTAAGGGAACATTTTAAGTGACAGCAATGGAAACCAAAGGTATATCGAGGGAAAATGAATTTCAAGCCTGAGTGTAATTTGCTGACAAGAATTAGAAGTGAGCATATCATAGCGCTTTCATTCCCTCTTGACCTATGTAAATGAACCTTATATGACAATTACATGTGTGTTTCTTCCTCAGCTGAAGACAGACTAGATTGTCTGGAGAAAGAAACCAAGAAAGCGCAGAAGGCATCTGAGGAGTACCAGAGATTGTATGAGGCAGAGAAGCAGAGAGTTGAACACTATGAAAAGGAAAGAGGGGAGAACAGGAATCCAGCAAAGAGGAGGTAAGTGACAGGTCAGAGGTCAGAGTAACAAGCAATGACAGCTCATTGCTTTGTAAAATCTGTATTTTTTGTGAGTGATACATGTGTAGCATGTAGCTGTGGTAGATAAATCCATCAGTTTCCTCTGACACCGGGTGTTTTGAAAACACAAATTATTCTACATTTTTGTGCATGCATATGCTGTACTTCACTGCTTTCAAGTCCATCACATAGCTAGATTCTAGAAAGTAGCTCTTTTGACTCTTTGAACTGCAGACTGGTTGGTTGTATTAAGCACACCTATGTGATGATGAAGACTCTCGTGTATGAGTGTTAGAATCTATAAAACAAGAATTAAAAGTTCACGTTAAACCAAGAGAGTTTGAATCCAGTCAGTACCTTCATCATCTGTTAAGTACCACCTTCTGTACCTGACATGCTCTCAACCAATTGGAGTAGGTAAAGTGGGGAAGGTAGTTTGGAATACTAGTTAACAAGGGACTTGTCTCAAGTCTAATACAGAGTCTGTTGATTTTTGTCCTAATTAAAACTAAAATATCAGATACTAAAACAACTTATGTGGCTTGTATTTATTCATAGATGTCTGGAAAACAGCTCCTGGTGTTAAATTTGATGTGTGGGAATGCAATATCTGTTATATCTTCAGACAATGAGAACAAGGCTGTTTCTATGGAAACCTCACTTCTCGACCAATCCAATAGTCTTCTGTGCTAGATTGCTCTTCCTCCTGGTCTGTACTTCTTATTCTGGTATCTTGTTTTCTTGAGATAAGTCAGCATTCCATCCAACTAAGACCGTATCTCCTCCATCACGTCTCTGCATCTTATCCTAACATCCTGTTTCCTAGCCAGCATTGCATCTCACTAGAACTGCACATTTTTGACAAGCCAGATTTTTCCCTCATTCATGACACTATATCTCTTCCATCGTGTCTCCACATCTTACTCTAAGATCCTGTGTCTCTGCGTCTTACTTCAGCACCCTTTTTTCTTCAAGCAAGTCAGCATTCCATCACCCTGATGTCTGACACCTGTAGCTACACATAAACGTGCTTCAACAAAGAAATATCTCATCCATTCTATCTCTGCTTCTTACATAAACACCCTTGTTGACAGTCTCGGCAAGCATTCCATCCTACCAAGACCTTGGCAGACCTGCACCACATTATCCACTCCAAACGTCCCTCCATCCTGTCTTTACACGTACATCTCGCTCTACCATTGCTATTTGTCTCTAGGCAAGCCAGCACTTCATCCCATCGAGACCTCACTGCTATGGCTAGGCAAACTCGCACTTCATCAACCACCCCATATCTCTTCCAAGCCCCTATGACCAGAGTCAAGTCAGCTGACCGAGTGAGACCCAAAGACATGGACACCAAGTACTTGGTTAGTGTGTGTTGAAAAACAGGCATAGCAATGCAGAATGATGCTGTTAATGTTAATGCAGTGTAGCTGATACAAAATGATAAAAGGTAATGGTACTTATTCTGGTATTTGCAGTCTCCATTCACAATTAAACCTTTGAGAGTGGAAGATGCCAACATGAATGTAAGGTGAAGACAGTTCAACACCATTCCCTACAAGGCAATCATGCTTGTTATAAAAATTGGAACAAAAGTCCATGTGGTATGCTGTGCCTTGGTAAAATGCAGTGCTTTTATGTGAATTATGACTTACATGTGGCAGTTATATGGATTTGAATGAGATAATGGTTTTTGTGTTCTTGGGCAAGACTCTTTACTGCAATTGTTCCCTTTCACTCAAGATTATAAGTGGGAACCTATTCCTACTCGTACTGAACTCGTACTGCCTAAGATTGATCTCATTTTCCATGGAATTGCACTGTGATCATTTACAACTGATATGTCATTTGTGCACATTCTGCTGGAAACTTTTAAGTAGTTAGGACATGACTGGGACAGTCACTTAGTGCAAATGTTAAACAGGCTTACTAGGCTTTTACTTGGAAATCACACGGTATCCTGAAGAGTTTACACATGAACCATATACATGTAGTGTGTATCCAGCCATGGATTGATGAGCTTTACTCCTTGCTAGAGAATATATTCATGTCCCCAGAGTGAGATCTCTCATCCTCCAGGGTCGTGCTACATCCTTGAAGTCATCTCTCTTGAAGTTAATCTCTTTGTCGTCTTCCTTCATCTTCTTAGTGTCTTGTGGACAAGAACAGAAGTCTTCACATGGAGGTGCGACGACTTCGGGATGAGAACGCACACCTGATGAGGAGCAGCAAAGACTCCAAGAGAGATGTGGAGATCATCCAGGTAGGCTGATGTATTTTCATGAAGTGTTTCATCTCTTTAGTCTGTGTCTTTTCTTTGTCTGTGGCATGATGCAGAAGACACCATGCCTTGCTTATTATACTGTGCAAACAAAGGCATTCCACAAAGAGCAGTAGGCAGTAGACAAGAAATAATTTGGAAATGAATTATGATTTTTAATTTCATGGTTGAACTTTGCACAATAAAAGATTTATTGGGTTTGAACGGGAAACATTTATTTCTTTAGGGCTCAAGGAAGTTGTTGTGAATCTGAAAATCCCCTAATATGCACTCATCAAATGACTTAATGTTTTAAGGAAAAAGTAGCTTGCCCTCAATTCTAATATTCAATTCATTATGTCTAACATAATGCCAGTCTAATGAAACCTTCAATAATCACTGTTTCCTATCTTGGAAATTGATCACCCTGTCATTTTTCATCCAATATCGCTCATTTCTGTGCATCATTTTACAATTTTTACAATATTCACATTCAAGTGCCTGCATTTTGTGGAATTGCTCACTGAAGCTGTTTAAACTTTTTTCTTCAACAGCGATACATTGCAACCTGCCAAACTCAAAGAAATGAGCTACAAGTCAGACTGCGACGAGAACAAGAAGAGGTAAACTCAATCAGAGTTGATCAATTATCAAAGTGACTGTTAAACAAAGTCATGATGAGTAAAGACACCTGTTTGGTGAGGTGCATATTCTACTCTTCTAAATTCCGGTCAAAGTGAGAACGAGGAAACTACAAGATGCATGCATGTGTCAAAGATGAATCTGATGTCATGTAGTCAACTGTTTCACTTATGGCAAAGTTGCTTTCCCCCTTAACCTTTTGCTGTAAGCGGATTAGTGGCACTACTCAGTTGTATGACAAACCCTTATGTTATGAGTCTCACTGTGGACTTGAATGGAGACTACAGCTGGTAGACCAATCTAAGCAGGTGATTATGCAGGCAGGCCTATCATTGCTCTCACTGTTTCACTCACTGTCGCATTGAATAAGCGACCCTTGATGTACTTTCCAAACAAACCTAGCAAACTGGCAAATGTTTAGTGAGCCTTGCTTATTGCTTAGTAATGTCAAGGTTGGTCTGTACATGGAGATCACAGTATCAATTACTTGTTTTGTAATCATAAATCATAGTTACTTTAACTGTAATGTGTCAGAACTGTGTATTTAAGGCCCAAACAGAGCTGTATTAAATTACTGCATAGCTACTGTTACTAGAGCACAGGTATAGCTTTATGGACTAGAAAGATTATAAGGATAAAATGGAATGAATCCAAAACAAATACATGTACATGTGCCCTAAATACAACACACCAGCCTCACATAACATGTAACATAAGCAAGCTTTATCAATAGCAGGACCAATTAAATTTGTTCATCAAAATTCATCTGCAGTGCATTGCATTTGTGCACATATTTACATTTTTTACACAGAGCCAAAAAAAGAAAGAAATTCTCAATTGTGCATTTAAGTTTTTAAAGTATTGGCTTTTATGATGCCTGTTCTGGACAATTCCACACTAACTGTGGCATGACTGTCAAAATTTCAAATTGATTTTACAATGTTTTCTCTAGTTTTCTCTGGTTAGGTTTGCACCTCAATTTAATGAATCCAAGGGGATATTATGGCAATACCATATGAAAAATTATAATTAATGAAATAATTCTTAACATTTATTTTCGTTACATTTTTATTTCTATACATGTAACATCTGGCACATAAAATGAAACGTCCGTAACTGCTTTAATTAACAAAGGTAGACTATACTATAAACTTTTGGTCCCTGGATAGAATAGACTGAGACCAATTGCAGCATAGTTTGTATAAAAGGCTAAAGGAAGCAACTTCACAGAGTTTTACTGAAATGCACCGAAGGTCTAAAGTCCGTAACATGCGTTTCTCACGCTTGTAACTGATTGATCAGTGAAGCCAAAACAAAGTTTCTTTAACCCTAACACTCCTCAGTCCTCCAACAGGTGAAGGATTGAGGAGGGTTAGGGTCAATATGTTTAACACTTGAATACAGGCTACAAGTATAAAAGCAAACAAACTTTTTTTCTCACCAGAAGTTAAATTGTTTATCAATTGAAACTTGGAAGTTGTATACAAACGTAATGCCCGTAACAATGGAATACTCTGTTTGATAATACAGATGGAGAAATGTACCTAGCAGGCTTTACTTTGCACAGTGCTGTAATACAGCTCTATGTGCTTCAATGATTCACTGACATATTTTCTAGGACTCTGCCTGAATGCTTGAAACTCTTCAAACGTTCCCACATCAATGAAAACAAACAGTTTGTTTTGTACACTTTTATCTACCGTGTCTAAATACTTAATGCTTTATTTGTAGCATCGTAGACTGGCAACGTCCATGAACAAGCAAGCCTCTAACTGGATTTCAGAGAAGAAGATGGTGCGTGGAATGGAAACAACGAGCAAAACAGCAAAGGTAGAACATAAACCGATGATG